AACTCGACTGATCATTTTGCAGTGTGACCAACAAGCTAGGAGGTACAGCATCGTGGTTTCCTTTGATGGGTGTCAGTTGTTTGGGGGCAGTCGGCAGAAAGCCCTGCTTAACTTACATTTCATGCTTTTTGGGACTCGTTAACAAAGCGTTTCAGTAGAACTCGAGGGAACTGATGTCCCCTTTAAGATCCGAACCCGCGTCACCCAGTGCTGCAATCGGTGACATTATCACACACAACATGGGGGGTATTTATGGCAATGAATCCCCACTGAATATGTATGAAGTTGCTCATTTCGAGTTAAGATAAAGTCAGACGGAAATCCAACAGAAATAGCTTCTTTGATTCATCAGTGAAGTGAAAAACTCTGTGGGGTATGTTGTGAAGATTTCCAGGCTATGCTAGATGTAACTTACTTGGTTGTGGCTAGCAGAGGAATCCAGGATGGGTGCTTCATCCTCTATGGAAGTCATCAGCTAGATGTACCTGCATCCGAACGGGTGATGTTGTTCCCACTGATGCTCGAAGCTCGTGCCCAGTTAGTCATGATGCTGATGTCTTGTGCAGTGGGTATCGGTTACAACTATTTGTTGAAATGCTTGTAATTCTCCTTTGTTATACTGGACAGAATTGTTCAACCTGTGTTGGCATTTGGGCTGGTATGCGGAAGCCTCGATATTGTCCGAATATTTATTATGGTGATTTACTTGTTTGTGGCTAGGAGAGGAATGCAGGTCGGAAGTTTCGTCCTATTTGTGACTCGTCAGTTGGATGTGCCTGCACCCCATTGAGTGATGTCGTTCCCACCATGACTCGTGCCCGTCGCTTCCTACGCCAAAACGTAATCCACTAGGCCACTGAGGCAAGATAGCCACCTCTTGTACAATAGGTATTAGTTGTGAATACTTGTTGATATACTCCATCTGTCTCTTTATTTAGCCAGCGTAAGAAGTTCTGGCAAGTAGTTATCTCATAACTCAGGAAAACGTATGATGACACCTAATGCCGCTGCTGCTAGAAAACAATGCAGAAATTCTTTATCACATGTCACAAAACCTCAATTATTGTAACAACAGTAAATCATTTGTGCGTCTGTTAGACATACTTATTTCCAACCAACTCCTACTTATTTTTGCAAACAAAAATTTTTCATACTCTGGAGTCAATGAAGCAGCATGCAACGTATATTCTACTGCTTCTTAATAATAATTCTCTTAGGCATAGATTTTTCAACATGTGTAGTAATGTTTTCTTTAGTTTTTATTGGATGGTAAAGTTAAAAATTGGTTCGATTTTAGAGAACAGTATAAGTCAGGCTTAAACGTCAGTAGGTCAAACATGATTTTAGACTAAATATGCGTTAATTAAACAAAGACAGTAATATTGAGGATCATAAGTGGTTGGTAGTGGAATTCATGACGTAGACTTTTCCTATTTGAGATTTATCAGGTATACGTATCTGCCTTCCAGTAAGTGATACTGACATTGTTTGTTATAAACGCTGGTGTTATCCACTTGGCTACTGAGCTATGATGTTCGCTCAATGTACAACGGGTATAGTTCAATATTATAGCTTGTGTGTATACTTCAACGCGGTCGGTAATTTCGTTCTTATTATTAACAACAGGAAATAATAAACCATATCTTGCCTCAGTACTCAAACATTCACAGTTCTATGTAAGAAGAAGTATGGAGGAATAATTCACTAGTCAGTCTTAAAAAGAGTAAAATTGGTTTTCGCTTTACGCTTTACTTTGCAGGGACTTTCCATGTAATGTACGGAAAGTTATCTCCCAAAAGTGTAGTTTCCGTTTCCGGTTGAATCGCATTTTCTAACACACTTGTATTTCAAAATAAGGCTAATTATTCCAAGTAGATAGTTTAGTAACTTCGGCAATGTGTGATTGCAGTGATGCATATCCAGCTGCTGGCAACCAATTAACAGTTGATTAAGGTCATAATGTACATTAATTCTCGTCGTTCATATTGTGCAGTGATTGTTTATGGAATACAATGAGTCATATTCGTTAACTAATTGATTTAACTTTTTATATTAACTCATCAAAATTCCTGTTAATTCTTCTACATTCTACTGTGACAGCTAGGTGCATGATTCAGTTGTATAGAACATGAACTGAGGAATATCCAGGTATGAAGACCAGCTAATACAGTTAGTCGAAAGTAAATATGTTGCAGAGAAATATCAATCAAATTTCTCAGGTCAAAGATAGACACTTTATGGTGTTGTAAGTTTGCTTAGTTCATCTTTTAAGGGTTATGATTAATTGGCACGAAATAATACTGTCACAAGAAAATTACCTAATCGTTTCCACTTAATACTGTTGACAAATTGTCTTATACAATAACGTTTTATTTTTACTGTGGCGATAGAATTTCAAACATGTTTATGTCAAACCATTGTCATTCTGCTAAGAAAAGGAATAGGACGTGCATAATGGTCTAAAATACTTTTAAGAATTGAAAAAGTTTCCAGTTCTTTGGCTATGGCTTTCATGGTGGATGCTATGAATCCAGTTAATATTTTAAAAACCTAGTTCTAGATATTCGGTATAACTGCGACCAAATTTCTACTGCAGTTTTTAAAATAATACACTGACTTTACTCAGTACGTAAAATAGGCTTCTTTGGTGTAATCTGATTAATTTACTGATACATCCTTTATTTTCCTTTGATTGAAAAAAGTCAGTTGCCTGTGTACTTGTGTACATACCAATGCTTGTTTTATGCATATAATGTTTAGTGGGTTAGGACAAGCACTGAGATGGTATGTAAACGTAAAACTAACGATGATATAACTAGGACGTTAAAAATTACTACTGTCAAAATTATATGTCTTCTTCTAACATAACTTAGAGACTGATGTGATTCTATTGTGTGAAGTGTGAATTGCTTTTTACGGGTTAGCGTAACAGACATAGTTGGTCTATGTATATTCGTGGGCATGAACATTTGTGTTGTCCCATAACTTCATAGTTACACAGGCGGAACTGCATGAACGACATATTTCATGAGGTACAAAGTTTCATACAACACTAGGTAGCATTAAATCGTTTCTTGTATCCGCTTTACTATGTTTTTTTAACCATAATATTTTACTCTTCTGGATATCCTATTGACTTTTACTGCACGTTTAGTGGAAATAATAAAGCTAAGCATTATCAGCAATATCTTTTTTAAACTCTGGTTTTCGATTTCAGAAACCGAGTTCCGGGTTACAGGCTTTAAGTATAACATTTACCTTACTATACAAACTACTTTCTGTCATCTTATGGGTGATTATTTTGAACACCGCCAGCATTTCATACTTTAGATATCTGTAAAGCATGGTTATATGCCATAGAGTATCCTTATAACACAATGTAAACACACCTGGAACTCGACTAGAGTTAGGATGACCATCCTACCCACTTGTTTGGTTTTCAGTAAGTTATACAGATGACACGCAATGAGTTAGCAGATAGTCGCTCATAGTTTACATTCTTCTCTAGCTATATTCATCCAGTGTCAAACTTAATGGTATCGCTGCATGGATTCTTCGACTTTTGGTCTGAGTCTTGTAGGGAAATGTAAACCTTCCAGTTAGGGTCCGCGTGAAGAAAGAAATTAGTTTTTGGAGACTCTAGGGGAAATGCCTCAGAATCTGCCCCCATGGGGCAGATGTATCCACACATTTTCTTCATATTAATCGTCATATTGAATGGGGCACTTTTTATTCCTCTTCCTCTCTTTTTCTGGTTCTTCTTTATTTCCTTACCTTTCGTCTTTGGGGTTTCTCGTTTGATGTGCTGATATGAGGTGTGGCAACTTGAGCCATCACACATTAATGCCCGTTGATGTTTGATGATGATTCATTCCATGCATTTCATCGGTGTGAATACAAAGATCAACAGTAAGTGGTCGTCTTAGAATTAATCGACGCCGAAAGCAGCAATGTTCATTGCTCTCTCACTCCTATTTTACTGTAGACGGAGAAGTACATAAAAGTATGAAGATGGATTTTGTAGAATGCATATCAAATGAATCAACAATAAAGCTATTTACAGAAGTTTTAATTTTGATACTGTAACATATCAACAACGTTGAATGAAGTTCGGACAAAGCTTCAGTTATTTATAGAATTAAAACAGAGTTGTTTTGGTCAATAATTTTCTTGAATAAAAAGAAGTTGGAGTGGTATTAGAGATCTTTTCTTGTTCTAAATACTTGGTAGGATAATGTGCCAGTAACTCATAAATTTCTACGGGATTTTAGAACGTTTTTAACAGTTAATCAAGTAAGACTTCTCAGAAGAATAGTTTACTGACTGTTTTCAAAACATAGCACAGGATGACGAGGTTTTTCGTATCAAATGCTTCCGTTTCAGCTTAACGAGCAAGTCTCACTGATTGACGTTTTTTTACCATTATCAAGCTCAACGTAGAATACATAACTGTCGTTAAGTGGTAATCGGCTAACCTGAAAGTCCATGATATATCTTCATTGTTGTGCTGTATATCATAGTTACGATTGCTACTTCATAGTGAATATTTGAAGGTTGTAAAACAGACTCGAGTAATTCAAGGGTAATTTGGAACCGTCATTTGGAACCATGAATATCATTATGCAATAATTTATTTTTGATCACAAGTTTATACATTTTGAGAACTCTTCAAATGAAATGAAATGAAATTTCACAAAATTAAGGTGCTCACAAGGAAACCTGAGTGCTTTAAGTGTTCTCTGAAAAGCCGGTAGAGATTCAAATACCAAGTGACTTTCCGAACATCAGAAAACAAGCATTCGTGTACTTTTCTAGGATTTTTCACCTTGACTTCAATGTTTACTGTAATAACATTGGAAGGTATTCACTCTCATTTTGCATAAATTAGATCGTGAGTAGATTTCTAAGTAGATTTAGAAAAGCGGCCAGATTATGTGCTTCTTTCAATTAGGGACTCCTCTTGGTTTAACAAAGTAGTACATTCGAAATTCTCGAATACATTAATAGTTGGTAATACTAACGGTAGTAGTAGTAGTAGTAGTAGTAGTAGTAGTAGTAGTAGTAGTAGTAGTAGTAGTAGTAGTAGTAGTAGTAGTAGTAGTAGTAGTAGTAGTAGTAGTAGTAGTAGTAGTAGTAGTAGTAGTAGTAGTAGTAGTAGTAGTAGTAGTAGTAGTAGTAGTAGTAGTAGTAGTAGTAGTAGTAGTAGTAGTAGTAGTAGTAGTAGTAACATTCCTTCATAAGGAACTACACTTTTATAAATGAACCAAATGCTTTTGAAATTCTCACGATACTTGAATACATAGTAAGTTCGAGTTACTTTTGAACTCCTATCATGTTTAAAGACATAGACTATCTTTTAACAAAAACAAGAAATGTGTGAAGTTATTTCTTAACTAAGGATAATGGCTTGTGTAAGAAAGTACATAGGACGGACAGAAGGGCATCTACTGAATTTTATGAGCATATTCCGAGAAATCTCTGTCTGAATGGTAGCAAGGTTCTGAAAAGTGAACATGCGAGGCATCTGATGGAAACAGGATATCAAATAGGTGTTTCTTAATCCTTCAGGAGAATCAACAAACAAATAACACCATGTATATCGCGGTTTGCAAACCGCGCGCGCTATCAAATATCTTATTATTTTTTATTATTTGTCCCTTAGGTTCCTACTGGAACATAGGGCTTCATTAGTACTTCGCCATTTCACTCTCTTTTCTCCAGTCTTTTGAACCTAGTTCCACCACTGCCCAGAAGCTCTCATTCCTTCCTCACACAATCTCCTCAATGTCACCCTCAGCTGGGACGCCCAACTCGTCGTTTCCCATGTGGGTTCCACTAGATGGCCTCACCTGGCGCGTGATGTCCCCAATCGGTCTTCTCAGTCTATATCCAATCCAATCCAATCTACCTCCACTTTCTTCTGCATATCTGTTGGGTGATAGGTTCTTGGTTGGTTCGCTACCAGACCAGAGTTCCTTGTAGCTTATTCTTTCTGGCCATCTGATCTGATCTTCAGTATCGAGTGAGCGTAGGTGGCAGCTGTTGATGAATGTCTGTAGTTTGTTCGAAATGCTTTTCACAATGCTTCGAGTCTCTGAACCATATAGAAGCACTGACGTGACATTGGTGTTGAAAATGCGGATCTTGATCTTTATGCTCATTACAATGCAGTAGATCTCCACACTGGTTTCAGAATGATGAGGTCCTGTCTTTCTTTTCCGATCCTGGCTTTGACATCCTCATCTGTGCCGCCACCTGTAGTTGAAATGATGCTGCCCTGCCTAGGTTGGTGAAAGAGGCTACTTCCTTTAAGTTTCTCCCGTTGATGGTGACTGGAGTTTGTTGGTGTTGTCGGTTGGGTATCTTCATCACCTCTGTCTTTTCTACGTTCACTTGAAGTTACGTCTTCGCCGCCTCTTCTGCCAACTCGTAGCTTTCTACCTGTGAACCTTCGAGTTTGTGCGACAAGACATTAGACATAAATCATCAGCGAAATCTAGATCTTCTAGGATCTTTTCATCGGTCAAACAGCGTGTGCCCCATCTTCTCGCTCCTCACAGTTTTCTGCATGATCCAGTCCAGTCGACCACAATCAGGAAGATCATCAGTGACAGAGTAGGCGGCAACCCTGTCTTACCTGTCAATCTATGTTCATTTCAAAGCCATAACTCAGCTTTCCCTTGTGACGTGTGCCGTCTTCATATGGCTATTGAATGAGTCTAATAAAGGTTTGTGATATTCCGTAGTGTTGAAGCAACTGCTTGCCAAATCACTTCTCGGTCGACTCTGTCAAAGGTCTTTTCAAAATCGATGAAGTTGAGGTAGAGAGTTGACTGCCATTCTATGCTCTATTCTATGGTCATGTGTAGCGTAGCATTGCAGTTTGATCCGCACATGATGTGTTCTTCCTGAAGCCAGCCAGCCAGCCAGCCTGTTCCGGTCGTAATTTTGAGTCCACCCCATCTTTTAGTCTCTCCATGATGATGCGACTTAATATCTTGCTTGAGGTGGACAACGGTGGAGCATGATTCTGTGCCAGTTCTTGCAAATACTTAGGTCGTCCTTCTTTGGGAGTTTGACAAGGTAGCCCTTCTTCCATTCGACCAGAAGGTACCTTTACTTCCTTCCTTCCCTCCTTCATTCCTTCCAAACCTTCTGCAGTAGTGGTGTGAGCATGTCCACTGATGTCTCTGCGTCTGTTTTCAGTGCTTCTCACCGAACTCCATGTGGTTGTGCTGCTTTCCCAGATTTCACCAACTTTATGGCGTTCAGGACTTCACTTCTGCTTCTGTCGGAGGGCTTGTGTTCACTGATAGTTCTGTGGCTGGGCTGGCTGTTGGTGGTATTTCTGGACGAGTTGCAGGTGGTCGAGGTCGTGGTGGTGGTGGTCGATTCAAGAGTTTGTTGAAGTGGTCAGACCATCGTTTCCTTTGTTTCTCCCCTTTGGTGGTAAGTAAGTTTCCTTCACTACCATCTTTCAGTGGTTTCATCTGTGCTGATCTCTTCCCTTCCAAATAGCAGTAACCTGGTCATTTGATATATATATATATATATATATATATATATATATATATATATATATATATAATGTTGTCAGGTCTCTGTCTCTCTTACCTGCAGCCTGTTCTGCTTCACTTGCCAATGTGTGTCTTAGAAGTGTCTTTCGTGTTTGCGCGCACCCTTATTCACTTCTTTGTCCAGTGCAGTGTTTTATAGGTTGTGCTCAGTTCCTCTCTTCGTTGTTTATCCTTGCACTGGACTGCACTGGTTCACCTTCTACCTAACCATCTTCCTTTCCCCCTCTATCAGCTTCCATATGTCTGTCGAGATCCATTTCTTGTCTTCTTTCTTCTTCCTTCCTAACATGATTATGCAGGTTTCCTTCCATATAGTTTTCAAAGAGTTCCAGTGCTCATCTACACAGGTTTCTTCAGGAATGTTCCTTAATATCTCCCATTTTGTCTTGATGGCTGACGTAAAGGTTTTCTTTGTAGTTTCGTCTTTCACTCTCTGTTCTGGGTGTTGAATTTGAACCATGGTCTATTACCAACTTCTTTGAAGGCTTTCGACTTGATTTTGTAGGTAGGTTCCTTGCACTAGATAGAGTGATGTGGACCTGCGTCTTCTCCTCTTCGTGATCTTGTGCCCAGTAGGCTGGCTGTGCCTCCACTCTCTTCACATTGAAATGAAGTTGATCTGATTTTTAGTCTGTCCTATTGTCTGGTGAAATCCATGTCGCTTTGTGAACATCCTTGTGCTTGTACACACTGCCTCAAATCAACAATTTGTTGAATGCGCATAAGTCTGCAGATAGTTCTCCATTCCCATTCATCATTTCACTGAGTGCTTCTCGACCCATGGTTAGTTCTCTTCCTGTGTCGTCCGCTCCCAGTTTGGCATTCATGTCGCCCGTTAGAATTTTGATGTCGCCAACTGAGGTAGTGTCTTGTCCATTGCTGATTGTAGATGTCTATAGAATTCCTCCTTCTTCTCTTGATCTGCATCATTTGTTGGTGCATAGCGTAGTATTGTATGATTGTGACTTTCCTTCCATTTGATTTGAATCTTACTGTCATGATCCTGATCGTGGAGGAGATTGGTTCCCACTACATGAGAGCCTTCGATGCTCTTGGGGACGTCATGATAGTCACTCGAAAACTCAGTGTGCTCGTGATTGTGTTCTAGGTGAAAATATCGGGGTAGATTATTGACTCTCCTCTCCAGTTGACAGTTGAGAGAGTCCACTACCATTCCACCTACTTTCGCGGATTCCTAGCACTTCAATGCTATATCTCCGCATTTCTTTAGCAATCTGGGCAGCCTTGCCAGCCAGCTTCAAACATTGTGCGGGATTCCATGTCCCTATGTTTACTTTCGCTTTCATCGAGATAGAGGTGACACATTGGCCAATTGGCTTCCCAAAGGCTTTCACCAACTGGCGTTATTTCTTCTCTCCGATTCCAGAGTAGATTAAGTTTATGTTTTATAACTTGTCTGTGCTTTGAAGTTTCTTTAGCGATTAGATTGATTTTTCAGGGTAGGGTCACTATCACCATGTTCAACCTTCGTACTTTATCCGCACTTAGGACCGGCTAGTATACTAGTGAACTATGTATGTTCGCAGAAGGAGACTATATTTAACCTTTCTTCACCTTGGTAAATGTACATAAATTTTGCATGTGTTTGTGTATAGTATTTCCTTTTCTTTTGATTGCATCATCTCTTCATTAATTGCTTACTGAATATTTATGACTTTACTATTTTCAAGTTTTTCATTTAAATACGTTACCTATTAGTTGTTAAACAGTCCCTTCTTTTACACTGATTTTCGTTTGTTGTCCACCCACGCCTTAGCTCCAGAGCTTTGTATCTCACCAGATATAAATAACCATTGAATTTGACTAAGATTTGTAACGGTTAATCCTGGATTTTAAGTGTACATTTATTTCTGCAGGTTTAAATTATTTTATGTTATTATTACCGTCAATATTTCATTTCAGTTGTAGGCTGTTTGCTGCTGATGAAAGGTCATGAAATAAAATGAGCTCATGTTATTCTGCAAGTATCTTTGTTCTTGCATTGTTCAAATAAACCAGGCTGGTTTTTATTTCACTTAAGGACGTTTTTGTAAACGCTAACAGTTCCATATGAGATACTGTGGATTTCAGATCGTTTTCTAAACAGCATTGCAACTAAACTGATGATACGGTAGAAAAAGGGAGAGATCGAATCAAAGAAAAATGTGTGCACATGAATAACGGACTAATTTTTTAACATCATTCACTTAACATACTACTAGTTAGTTCCTTTTAGCTTTCATAAAAACTTTTAAATAGGACAAAGTAGACACTGTAACAGATGTTGCTTTGGGCAAACTCAATCTTATCTCATACTGTCAAATGAGCCATTTTTAAACCACAACAAAATGTGAAAAATCATTTTGTATATGAATTCAAGGTTGAGTAATGTGACCATGACAAATCTGTTCTACTACTGTAAGCATCAGACAATGTATACACAGGATTTCAGTGTGACTCTTGTCAAATTCTTCTCCCTACTCTCCTAATGACTATTATTCATTATTATCCTATGAATCTGAGCGGTTCATGGTGTTAGCTGTTTTTTTCATCTAAATGTCGAAGGTTAAGAGAATTTTTTGTAATCCGCCTTAATCTCTAAACTCCATCTTTCACTTAACAGAAGAAAAAATATTCAGGTGGATGAGATGGAAAAAACATTCCTCTTGGCATATTTTGCCTCATGTCAAGCATCTTCGCACACAGACATACACAATGAGTTTTTTTCCATTGAGATATTAAGAATAGTTTCATCGGACGTACCTATGA